GTCCTGTTGATTTTTCAACCTACTGTAGCCAGGTATCTGTCACCACTGTAATGAAATAGCACTGACTGAGGGTCACCAGTAATCTTGCCAAATCTAACTGAGCACTTCTAAATCTTTCTCTTGACCTCTTTTACATTGTATGTTAATTTTTAACGTATTGACCACTTCTTGAAACTCTCACCTCCCTTGACTTTATTGACACTCTTTCCCTAGTTCTCTCCCTTTACATGAATTTTTTCCTCAACTTTTTGCTGCCCTGTTTTTCCTGTGCCTTCTTCCTAGTTTCCTTAAATAGGTAATAACTCATTTATTGCTTTTATTTGTTTTATATATGAAGGACCAAAGTAAGACCTGCTTAATTAAAAAAAAAGGAATGCAATAATTACAATAGTCTGCTCTGATTCCGCCAGTCTGATTTCTTCCCCATTCATTCCATTTTCTAGATTCCTGGAAATGATTTTTCTAAAAATGCACATGTTATCAGGGGCATTCCCTGAAGGAAGGATTTTAATCCCTTGAGCTCTTCAGTACCTAAAAGACATAGGCCAAGCTCCTCTGTGAAGCCTTTCCTCATACACCTCTCTTCCAACCTGAATTACATCCACTCCATACTTCTATTATTGTACATGTTGGCAGAATTAAACACAGGTCTGTGTGTGAATGGGAAGGAATCGTCTGTCTTCTGAGATCTGGGAAGTTGTGAGGAAGGCAGGAAAGAATAGACAGAAAAAAGAGAATACCATGGTGTTAGTGCTGGCGACAAGGTAGTATTTTTGAAGTAAAGGCTCAGCAAAAAGGTAGTATGAGAAGGAGAGAATTAGTCAACTTGTCATTGACTGAAGCCACCATCTTCAAACTATTTGATTGTGGTGCTCTTTCCATAAAAAATTTTGAGTACATTCCTTTGATATAAGCATAGTGATTTATAATAATTTATAAATTCATATATGATGTGATGTACTGATCAATATTATGAAACACAAAAAATAGAAGATGGGGCACTAATTACAAAAATAAATTCTAATAATTTCTTCTACTCTCAGTAGATGGGTGTAGACTACTGTGGTGGCCATTGACCTGAAGGCTGGACCCAAAGCTTATTCTAATGCGTACAAGACCCTTTGTGATCTGACCTCTAGTTACTTACCCAGCCATCTGTAACCACTCCCAGCTACCTCTGTATTCTCCTTTCAACCCTCTCAAGCCTCCAAATTAACCTATTTTTCAATGCTTTATCAGCCAGGAAGATCCAAGTAGTTGTTTTTTATCTCTGTTTCTGCATCTGCTTGAAGTGGGCCCTCTCTGCATGGCAAACTCTATTGACACTTCAGCTCTGGCTCAGATTATTATGTCCTCTGAAACCTTCCCCAGCATCATCACCAGAGCTGTGAAAGAAGCAGCAAGGACATAAGCAAGAGGCTCTGGTTGAAAAGCCTGAATCAAAATGACTCAGAGGTGTGGAAACTGTTATTATGAGAATATTGGTGCTCTCTCAAATGCATAAATGGCGAAATGCAAAGTGAGACTGGCAAGTTAGATGTTAAGTGACCCTTTGGTTCATTTCTCTTTTTGTTGATGTAGAGAGATTAAGAAACTTACTTCATAACCAAAGAAATATACATATGATCATTTGGAAGCATTTTTGCCTGAATGTAATGAATTCTATTTTTAAAACTATTTATGAATCATTTCAAACACAGTAGCAGCCAGAAGAGACTTAAGTTATGGATATAGTTAAAGCCTTGCCCCTCAATCCTTGCTCTCCCTCCCCAGAGGTACCTACCATAGAAGAGGTTTTGTTAGCTGCTTTTCTGGAAAATATTTGATGTGTAGGGAGACAAAGGTAAATTCCTGCCAGTAGTGTAAAAAAGGCGTGGTCAACAGAAGGAAGAAAATGAATTCTGTTTTACAGTGTAAACCAATTCATTATTGTGTATATGAGATGATGTTTGGGATATTTCTTCTACCAGAGGTGGCTTGAGACTAGAGAAACATGAATTCCAATTTCAGTTGATTATTTCCTGGTGGCTATACTTGGCTCTGATTTTGCTTTCATCTTTTGTAAAAGGTTGAAGACATGTCTTGCAGAGTATTTTAAGACTAAAACTAAGCCTTTGAAACATATATATAGCACAAGGTAAATGCTTGAAAAGTAGTATCAATTGTTACTACCAATTTAATGTTGTACAGAACTCAAACTAGTTAGTCACGCTGGTTAGACTACAGTATTTACCAATCGTTTCTGCATCATTTTACAATTGGAAATATTTGTTTAATACGTGGGGGCAAACCTACAAAGCTGTATGGGATGGCTTGATGTGACTACCTCAAGGGCTCTAGGCAGCCCAGGCCACCCCGTGGGCTTAAGGGGATTGATAGTAGTACCCTGCTGGCATTGCTGCTGGGAAGCTTTGCATCAGAGAATCAGGCTAGTAATGTAATTTGGTGGACTAGCCAACTTTTGCTGGCTCCTTGAATGGTTAGAGACCACACCCAATCTGGAAACTGGTCTCACAAACACGTGCCATCAGTTATGAAAAGAAGCCAGTGAAAAGAAAGAAATGTGTCTCATCTTTGTTGGAAAAATAATTCCCTGTACATCCTCTCTTGGTCAATTAGCATCATCCTCCTGGAACAATAAAATTCCCCAAAGTGGAATTAGTTGTTCCTAAGAAAGAACAAACTTTGGATACTACTTTACCATTTACGAAGTGCATTTGAATACGTATGTATCCTCATGTACTCTTACTACAGCCCTGGAGGAGGCTTCAGATTGAGAGATGTATCTAATACCACGTGGTTGATAAAAAGAAAATGAAGTGTAAATACAGGTTTTCCAATTCAGTGTTCCTTCTCACAGTGGTTGAGAGAGTATCTCAGAATTATGTTTTATTATATGGCTGTATTATTTCCTTAACAATTAGCTGAGAAAATTAAAATTTCCACCAGTTTCAGTTCCTAAGAACTATGTGCTTTAATGCTTAAACTAAAATATATAAAAGTCATATAGCTTCCTATAGATCTGTCTTCAAGATAAAGAAGAGTGCAGAAAGAATAGTTCTGTGATTTTCATTATATTAGTTTCACGAGTTATTTTCCTCACCCATTTCTAAATATTATAGTTTGGCTGGGATTGACATAGAGAAATGCAGAGTAACTTTTATATTCCAGGCTAGCGAAAAGTGGTGCCTTTCAGAAGAAAGTAGGAAAATGGAGTATAGACAATGTACTTGTTTTCTACTGCAAAGTAACACATTTTCTTAAAATTTAGTGGAAACATCTGTTTTCTCACAGAATTTCTGAGGGTCAGGAATTCAGAGGGTAAGGAATTTGGGAGTAGGTTAGCTGGGTGTTATGGGGTGTCTCATAAGATTGCAGTCAAAATGTCAGCCGAGACTGCAGTCATCTGAAGACTTGACTGACACTGAAGGATCTACTTTGAGAAAGGCTCTCTCACATGGCCTCTGGCTGGAGGCCTCAGTTTCTTGCCCAGTGGACTCCCCATAGGGCTGCTGATAGCGTGGCAGGTACTTCCCCCATTCAACACAGACAACTAGGACAAAGCCTCGTTGCTTTTTCCGACCTAATCTTATTGCCCTCTATCAGTTCTGCTTTTTTAATATTCCTTAGAAGCAAATCACTAACTCCAGCCCACACTCGAGGGGAAGGAAATTGGGCTTCACCCCTTGAAAGGAGGTGTAATAAAGAATTTGTGGACATAGTTAAAATTGCCACAGGAAAGGAAGGACACACATATTAAATTTAAGCAGATTCTGTTAAGGCTGTGAGGGCAGAATGTGGTAGGGTATTTCATGTGAGAATTGTCCACATACAAATGGATGAGGTAACTTAGATACTGAACTCTTGGATTCCAAAAATCAACGAACTTTGAAAAATGAAATCAGATGAAGTGAATTTAACTTAAACTAACCAGACTTAATGTTTATATAAAGAAGCTAAATAATAAATGGGTTTATGTAATAAATACTGTAGTATTACTATAATATCTTCATGTTAATGGAACTTTAATATGATTGCTATAGATTTCCAACTGATACCATACAGCGCTCAAAATGGATCAGGGCTGTTAATCGTATGGACCCCAGAAGCAAAAAGATTTGGATCCCAGGACCAGGTGCTATGCTATGTTCCAAACATTTTCAAGAAAGTGACTTTGAGTCATATGGCATAAGAAGAAAGCTGAAAAAAGGAACTGTGCCTTCTGTTTCTCTATACAAGGTACTTAAATCCAGGTGTAAACAAAACTAAATTTTATAGAGCCTTTAAAAATCAAGACAGTTCACATTATAGCTAGAATTTGCAGAAATAAAAACTTAGATCGTAAAATAAATTTAATAGTAAACTTAAATGCTTAGAAAATTAGTTTAAAAATACATATGTAATATTAGTAATTGTGCTTTGGAGCTTTTTAAAAAATAAGATGTATGAATGCAAATCATATGTCTAGCTATACATAAAGGTTACTAAGCTGATCACAAACTCAAGCAGTGAATATCAGCAGCCTTAGAATTCAGGCTTTTGTTTAAGTATGAGGTAGTTTTCATAATACTTTGAAGTTATCTACCCTTTTTTTGAGTCTCCCTCCAAAATGTTAATTGGTCTTGACCAAAAACATAACCTAATTATTAGCACTGATACAGAAAGAGGTATAGGAAAATAGAAGTCTTTCTATGAGTCAGTCACCGGTATTGGTGTTACAGTCTTATGCTTCTTTTGATTGTTTTTATTTTGTCCTTCTACCCCTTAGCCACACACTTGTAGGTGACTCAGTCACTGTCTGCGGTCTGCAAATAGTCATCCACCTGTTCTATCTTGACACTACCCAAACCTTCCTCTTACTCACTGGAGTCTCCTTATTTTGGTATTGTTTTATCTCATTCCTACTTTCCTAAGAATATAGTTGGTGTCAAATCCAAACTCATAGGTTCAAAGAGCTTTCTATTAATTGATTTGTGCATCTCTTAAATAATCTGAATTCCCTTTTCCAACCACATATACTTACCCACTGTATATATGGAAAATCAACTTGCTTTCATGCTTTTGTGTAAAATCAATGTTACTATTTATTGAGAGACCTACAGTGATCTAGGTGTTGCACTAGGCGATTTACATAAATTATCTTACTGTATTCTCAAATCTGTATTATCCTTCACGTTTTATAAATGAGATGAGGGATTGTAGAGGTTAAATAATAACTAACAAGTAAGGGATCTGGGAGTCTTAATTCCAAAGCTCATGCTCTGTCCTATGCCTTCCTCTCTGCACAAATAACTTCCCTTCCCCTCCATTAACTACTTAAAATTCCCATGAAACCTTCTCAAATTATCACCACCCTTCCCTAGTTACTTTAATCATTTCAGAAACTTTCAGCATTGCATTACTCTTTCAGTATAGAAGCAAAACAAAATACCCTGTTTACACTGTCCTAGAAACCATACATTAAAGTCCGAGAATATAACCTTTTCTTTCATAACTAACTCTTCAGGCAACCAGGTGAGTGGTTTGTATTCAGTGGTATTTTTATAGATAATCATTGTGTGATAATTTCTAAAATAACCTTCATTTTCTATTTGTCATAGGTTCTCCAAGGTGTACACCTTAAAGGTAAAGCAAGACAGAAAATCCTAAAACAGCCACTTCCTGATGATTCTCAAGAAGGTGCTACTGAGGACCATAACTACAGTTTAAAGAGACCTTTGACTATAGGAGCAGAAAAGCTGGCCGAGGTGCAACAGATGCTACAAGTGTCCAAAAAAAGACTCGCTTCTGCAAAAAACTACAGGATGATCAAGAAGAGAAAGGGTTTACGATTAATTGATGCACTTGTAGAAGAGAAACTGCTTTCAGAAGAAACGGAGTATCTGCTACGAGCACAATTTTCAGGTATGTTCCCCAATGACCTGTAATATTTACAACAAAGCTCTTAATTTTTCTGAAATGTCATTAAGTATTTATTTTGCTGTTGCCTATGAAAATATGCTATTAGCTGAGAAGTGAAAAGTCTCAGTGGCATAAGCAGGAAGAATGAAAAGTCATCACCAAAACCCTTTTATGGCTTTCCATTTTCAAAAGTAAAATATTTATTATAGGAGAAGCAAAGAATTGTATAAATAATAAAAATAACATATAGTCCTGCTACCCAAAGATGAGATCATATACCATATAGTATACTTTTCACTTTTTATAATCTCACTTACCCATGCTACTGCAAATTCTTTCTAAACAATTTTAACTTCTATGTAATTTATCAGTAAAGTCTTTCTGCAGTGAGTTGAACTAGATAATCTGCAAAATTACTTTGACCTTGAAAATTATATGAGTCTCCAAATTTTCCCACAATACTCTCTGTAGAGTATATGTATGTCCATTGAAAGATTACCTAGTCTTCTTTGTGCACCAGGATATTTGAAGAGGGGGCAGATAAGCAATACCAACTTACTTTTTGATGATAGCATCAGAGATTTTGTATTTAAAAATTCTGGTAAAAAAGAAGCATGTCTTGTGTCTGGAAAAGAGTAGGTATCTCCAAAGGACGGAATATTTTGTGTTTTCCCAAGAGAAGAATACACGTAATAAATAGGAGTCCACTCCAGGAACAAAAGGTTTTTGTCTTCTCTCAATAGTGGAAAAGATTGTTCATTTTGAATATAGTACCCTATCCCCAGAAATGTTTCTTGTGTCTTATTTTCACTCTTAGGTAGATGGTAACCAGGGAACAAAATAAAACAGATAAATGTCCTCATAATCCAGAGCCTTAATTTTATGCAGTTATTTCATTTTCTTCTCTGTTCCTCTAAAAATCTCCACTCAGGCTGTCGATGAATAGTAAAACATAGTGATTCAAGTTGAAACATTTTTCTCCCTTCTTTCTAGTGAAAAGATCCAAGATGAACAGGATAACTCGATCAACAGGCTCCATGGTTGGATATTATCCTCTGAACAAACTCGGTTAAAATGTGATTGTGTTTGAATTTTGGCGCCTTATGCATTATATCCAAATGCTGTGATCGATACCTGAAAATGTTACTGTACACATTTTTCATCACAAAGAATAAATTTATTTTAACAGATTTTAAGTGGGAGTTGTATAACTGGAGAGAAACAGCCGAGTACTCCACAGAAATGAAGCAGTTTGCATGCACCCTCTACTTGTGCAGTAGCAAAGTCTATGATTATGTAAGAAAGATTCTTAAGCTGCCTCATTCTTCCATCCTCAGAACGTAAGTGAATTACCTTTTAGATGTTAAATAAAACAAATATTTTGCACTTCCGTTACATTTTATACATTAATGCTGTTAGTATTCATACTTTCCTTTAGTCCGCTTTCTCTTTTTAAAAACTTCTACATGGTATTTGCACATTATCACAGTCAGTATTTTACCAGCAAAATGAAGATGTGTAGGCTGACAAAATTTTCTGCATCTTTCAGATGGTAGAGACACTCTGAGTGATAAAATCTGAATCTTGAAATACTGGAATTTCTCATACGCTTTAGTAGTTTTAATATGTGGAAAATCTAAAATAGTTTGAGACTGATGCCATAGGTTTGAGGCAAAGATCAAAAATCTGAATTTTTTTGTAAGCACTTTAGTTGATGCCAGTACGGGTTGTCCAGACACAAGATTATGATAAATAATTTTTTAGGATTTGTGGTCAGAGTACACAGATGTGTGAAGCAAACAACACCATGACTTTATAGTAGTCTCTTATAAATTTAATACTCAGTTTTTACTGTTTTTTTTATCACTGATTTTACAGACTCCTTTTCATTTTTATTTATTTGGCTTAAATGGCAGAAATAGATTGTCTAGGGTGCTGGAAGCTAGAAGCTGCAAAACAGCATGTTGTCAGGGTTAATTCCTTCTGAGGACTGTAAGGTAGGGGGCTGTTCCGTGCCTCTCTTCTCAGCTTGTAGATGGTGGTCTTCTCCTTGTGTTTCTTCACATTGTCTTCCATTATCCATGGGTGTTTCTATGTCCAAATTTCCTTTTTATGAGGACAATAATCATATTGGATTGGGATTCGCCCTTATGACCTCATTTAAACATGATTACCTCTGTAAAGACCCTTTCTGCAAATAAGATCTACTCTGAGGTACTGGTGATTAGGACTATGACATATGTTTTTTTGAGGGACACGATTCAACCCATAGCAGTCACTTTCTTGTTGCATAAGCCTCCCCTTACCCATAGTCTATAGCCTAACCCCTTCCCGTGGTTTACTGAGCCTCTGCGATGTGGCGCCTGCCGGGCTCTGCAGCGCCTCTCTTGCCTCCCTCCCTG